CAAGATGAAACATAAGAGACAGAACTTTAACTCATCAGAAGAGTTCAAAGTCTATCGACCGAGTTTAAGGGGGTCAAATCAGCGACCAAAAAGTCATCAATGAAAGGTTTTCAAAAGAGGCTTTCCAAACCCAACTCTTAAAAGAACGACAATCACGGAATGAAGGTTCGGATGACAATTCAAGGCTCGAATTTATTCGATAACAATTCAGCCATAAATAACAAAAGAAAAGGGTATCAATAACTCAACAACCGAGTTCTAACACCCACGAAGGATTTCACAAGACGAACTAACGAGAAACGAATGGATAAGAACGAACAAATTATAACAAGGGACAATCAGCCATTAAACTGATCCCCATGAATCTACAAACACAAGTGGTCGGATCATCGACATGAAACCGACACTTAGACTCCACTCCCGGTTCCCATTGACCGGGTTCTACACGCGTCTAATAGTTCTAGCCACAATAGTCACAGACTTTCGAATAGTCCACACACCTGGGACTCCTTCGGTTGTCTGTTCCCTTTACTTAAGCCTTCTCTTTCGAGATAGCTTACGAATGATTCTCACTCGATGGTACTAAACAGAAACTCACAACGAGTGCACTGCTATAGACCAAACTTAACTCGCTAACACCAACCCGAAAACTCACAACAAACAATTCTAAAGTTGGAACTTAACCCTATACCACTAGAGTTCAAGTCCGTATAAACGGAGGGTAAATTCCTAAGCCCCAATAAAAGAACAAACTATAATCACGTCATTCACAATAATCAATACAAATAAATTCATACCTTGAGCTGGCGCGGCGAGACGAAGCGAGTGGTCAATGGTCATTAAACACTTAATCACATATGAACCAGTCTACAGAAAAGCAAGACTGGCTCTGATACCAAACTGTAACGCCCCGTTTTATTTTAAAGAATTTATCGAATTTATTTAATAAAAATCAGAGTATATTTTTTTTTTGGAAAATCCAAGTTAAAACATTTATCGAGAAACGGGCGCTACTTATTAACCACCACAAATAAACACACTCAATCAAACAATCCAATGAACCTACACATGCTCGAGCTATGAAAATGACAATCTCATAAATCATACATTTCAAACTCATTCCCGAATGACTAGCATGAAATCCAGGTTCAAACGAAATTCAAACATAGTTCGAAGGCAAATAAATAAATAAACCAAAGTATTTGAAAGCAACAAAATAAGTAACAAGTTCATGCACAACACATAATCAGTATACGAAATCAAGCAGGGATATAAACACATAATTAAATATCTAAATTCAAGCGGGAAAATCATTCAAGTCAAGTTCCAGTTCAACAAATCATAAACAGGCGGAAGCATAATACATCATCAAACAGTGACCACCATCTCGCTCGTCCTACGCCACCGCCTCCAGCTCGTCTCAACCTAAAACAAAGGAAGAGAGAAAACAACAAAGAAAATAATGGGGGTGAGCAACCAACTAGCTCACCATTATCGCACGGTTATCTCGTATAATTATTTTAAAAAGCAGTATCAGTAAAAACAGTTTCAATATCGGTATGCACAGAATTCAAAGCCTAAACCCCCTACCCAGCCCTATCGCAAACCTCCTATGTACATACAACAACCTTCCGGATACGACGGCATGGCTGTAACTGGAAACCTTCCCACCCCCGGATACGACGGTCCATGGGATCCTTTCCAGGAGACAGTGAAGTTGAATTACCCCTCCGCTCTACACGGATTCGAGTAAATCAGACAATCCCCTCCGCTCTACACGGATTCGGGCGTCCACCTCCCGGATACGACGGGCAGGCGACTTCCACTGCTTTCGCATTCATTAAAGGCACTATCGTTCGGGACACTTAGACTAGAGTTCTCATGCATACAGTAATTTTTCAAAGAAATATTACACGAAATAAGAAAGTGCGATAATTATGGAATACATCATAAATGTACCCACCTGATAGCAGCAACAGTTCACAGAATCACAATTCCAGAAACGCGGCGAGGTCAACACCTCTTAAACACCTACATTATGACAAGATCCTACAATCAGAATCTATCTCGACTTAAATCAGAAATCACAAGACAGACCTAGTCGAACTCGTTTCGACTAAGTAGTTCGTGAAGTCCTGTGGATGTTGGAACACTAAGACTCGGCACTAAACTCGACCAAACCACTTAAGGGAGTTCACAAAAATCCATCTAAGGTTTGACCAAGTCAAATTCACAACAAAAACCAGCAAGCAAGTCAATTCAACTTCCACATAACAATTATACTCGAAAATTGAAATCATTTAATCGCGTGAAAAATAGTTGATCAAGATATCCTGCGAATTAAGCTCTGAAAATTTATACAAAATTTCATCTCCCAGAAATATGTAATATCAAAAAGTTTCAGCTTTAAACTCAACATACCCTATTTTATAAAATTCAAACAGTAATTCAGCAAAAAGGGCACATTAATCCATACTCAGACTTAGTGAATGAATTTGAACCTGAAAATTTTACACAGCAACATTCAGTATGCCAAAGTTCACTTATAAAATTTCAGCCTTAAACAATAACTGTTCCTATTTATCAAAATTCAAATAAGAAACAGTAGTTTATTGAATTTAAATCCAAACTGAAACAAAACGGACTCTGAAAATTTTCATATTTTACAAACATGATCAAACACCTAAAATATGACTCCCTGTAAACTTTCAGAATTTTCTATGCAATATCCGATTTTTAAAAATTAAAACATCCTTTCTACAGAATCGATAAATAAAATATTACCCATATCAATTCAACTCCAAAAATTCTGAAAATTTAACACAACACATATAGGTCACAGAGGCATGACATATTCGAATTTCAGCTCATTTCAGACAAGTATGAATTTATTATGCATTTAACAATTTTCTGGAAAGAAAACAATTTAATTATTAAAAATAGCTACAGGTCTCCAAAAATTATGAAAATTTTACACAAGGCAGGAAACAAACAGATAACACATCTCACAAAATTTCACGTCGTTTCGAGCAGCGAGCTATTTTTAAAAATTCGAACATCAAAACAGCGACAATAAGGCTCGACAACTCGAAAATTAAATCACAACACACAAATTATCGTCCGAGGCCTTTTCATAAGACCAAGGGCTCGACATTGTTCCATTATCCACGGACCCACACGACTTTCGAGGTCTCGTTCAATTTTCGAGAAAATCGAAGAGATCCGAACACATACGATAACACATAAAATCATACTTCTCACGTAAAATCATAACGAACACATTAACGTATAATATTTATGTCACGCAAATCATACATATTCATAAATGACATAATCGATAAAAACGAGACGGGATCGAGCCTTTGTACCGTTCTCGGGAATCAAACGAAAAACGGACGAACACGAACGGGGCTCGACGGATTCTCGCGTCTCGCCGGAAAGAGAAGGGCCGTCGCACGGGAGGAGAAAGTTCGCTGCTGCTGATTCACGGGCTCGTCGGGAAGTCGCCGGACGTCGCTGCTCGGAGAATAATCGAGCTCGCCGGAAATCCACGAACAGCGATCGGGGAGCGGTCGGAGGGGGATGAACTCGCCGGTGACGTTGCTGTGGCGGACCGAGGAGATTTCGACGTCGAAGGCTCGCTGCTGGGGGTCGTCGTTTGCAGAGGAGGTCGCCTGGCGTTGCTGCTGGTCACGGCGGAGGGCCTGCGCGCGGTGGGGCACTCGCCGGAGATGAGGCGGGATGATGACGACGAAGGTGATGATGGAAAGGAGATGATCGATGAAGATGGAGGTTGATGACAACGGATGGTGAGGGACGTTGGTGATGATGATCGTTCGAGAAAAAGAAAATCTCACGAGAAAAAAAAAAACGATGGAGGCTGTGGGATTGTTTTCCAAACGTGATGTATATATATATACATATATATACACATATGTATTAGGTTTGGGAAAATAACAAAGTTCCTTGTTGTCCAAGACAAGGACTACACGTTCAAAATAAAAGGAAAAGGAAAATCTGTCGGGCCGGGCCCGAGAAATTTGGGCCAATAGGATTTTTGGGCCGTTTGGAATAACAAAACAGCTCACGGGCTCAGATAAAATTCAAACAGATATATTCGGGCCCAATTCGATCACAACAAAATTATCGGGCTCGATTCCGAATGCAAACGTGCGATAAAAATAAATCGAAAAATATTAAATATATATATTTTACACATTATCACATACACATTTATTCATACTAATAATTTAATAAATCACAAAATCAATTAAACAATTAGACAAATTTCACAATTTAGCATTTAATCACATTTGACAAATAAATAAACATAATAGCATTCAATAAAATAAAATATAAATATTATCACCAATTAATACTAATAATAATAGCAATCATAAAAAAAAAAATAATAATAAATCCCAAATAATCCACAAATAAACGGGGCATTACAATTTCGTTCTTAAATATGTTCATTTTATTGAATAACATATTCATTTGGGTCTGAATATATATTTATTCATTCTGATTTTGAAGGAATTCAATCTATTTTGTCAGATATTTTCAATGAACATGGGGAGGGAGAAGAAGACCGAGAAGAAAACACTCTTGAAAAACATGATCTACAAGGAGATGCTTCAGTGGCAGATGAAGAGACAAGAGAGTGGACTCTTGAAAAAAAATGAACTGCAAGGAGATGCTTCAGTGGTAGAAGAGCTGGGAGAGAAGACTCCTGAAAAAAATGATCTGCAAGGAGATGTTTCGGTGGTAGAAGAGCTGGGAGAGAAGACTCCTGAAAAAAAAAGATTTGGAAGAAGAAGAAGAAACTGGAGGAGAGAAGAATCCTGAAAAAAAAAAGATTTGGAAGAAGAAGCTAGAGGAGAGAAGACACCATAAACTCCATTTGAGAGAAGATTATTATTTGAAAAGTATATATTTTGTGCTAGTCAAACATTCAACTTGAAAATTGACAAATTAACTAATATTATGAATATTACAGGATGGTTCTAGGAGAAAAAGGAAATAAAGAAAGTGATTTGGATCCCCCTTTCCTATCAACTCCCTTCTGGAAAGGGCATGTTGAAATCAGAGGCAAGCACACTCTGAAGGAAAGAGCATTTTGGAACTTTATAATGGAAGGAGACAACGACAATGCTGAAAAAACCACGTATGTTCATTTTATTCTGTAACATGTTCATCCGGTTGTATGAAATGTTCACTAAATTATATAATATGTTCATCTGGTTGTATACAATGTTCATTATATTATATAACATGCTCATCCTTTCTTTGTGTAACTGTTACAGAGAAGTCATCTTTGAAGGATTACAAATGGCCTGCACAAGAGAGGATTTCAAGACCTTCAAGCTTGGAGAGTATATTTCAACAATAATTGTTGATGCTTCGGCGATGCACTTGAATTTCAGATTCCACAGCTTGAATAAAAATAAGAATAAATTTTGCTTAACAACTAATGTCATGGTAAGAATCCATATGTGATGAACTACTAACACCTCGCTATATCTCTTACACTAAACATTCGACATACTTTCTAGATGAGATTGTCCTTACAAGCTATGAGTAACAGAGATGCGAAGGAATATGTGAGGGATGCAGCTGCAAGGATGGATGTCGAGTTCACAGAAGAAGGGCTTTCAAAATATGATATCAAGAATATCAGCCATGTGAGTAAATATAACATGTTCATCTCATTATAAAACATATTCATCTTAGTGTTAAACATGTTCATCTTACATTGGTCTGTTCCATTTTTCAGCTCATTGTCCCAGTCTATTTTCAGACCCATTTCTACCTCTACTGTTGAGTGGAAATGTGCCACTGAATAACAAGTATGGCGGAACTAAAGATTTCTTGATAAGACTTGACTATTTCAACTTACATTCTATATAGTTTTTTTATTTTTTAACAAAAACAATTATTAATTTTGGCATCAACAAACAGTAAAAGGTCATTGAAGAGTACAGAAAAATATACAAGAAACCCTTCAAGAGCCCGTTCAACAAGCTTACCTTGAAACTGGTGAACATGCACTGCGCAGATTCAACAAACACAACGGACTGCGGAATATATGCAATGCATCACATGTCCAAATATGTTTGTGTGCATGCAGATGGCCATGATTGTGCATTCCCTGTGATAGGCAGTGATTCGGTAATATTTTTCATCCTAAATTTTTAATGTTTACACGAGTTGCATATTACAAGTCAAACTGATGTTGATTATATTTTCCATTTCAGAGGAAAAAGGTCCACATGAAGAACAAGTTGGATACTCTGGGTGAAGTACTTGGCCAAATTGATCGAGTCTCCAATAAACAAGAAATCAGATGTTGTCCGAGAGGATTTGAGTAATTATTTCGCTGAAAAGACAATCGAGTGATAAATGAACAACTTTGATAGATTTAGTGTTAGTTCTCTGTTTGTTCGGTTTGATAAACATGTTAGTTCTTTCTTTGTGTTAGTTCTCTGATAAGACAATTATTTAGTGTTAAACATATTCATAATGTTAAGAAACGTATTCATTTTACAAAGTAACATATTCATTTTACCAAAAAACGTGTTCATTTTACAAAGTATCATCGAGTCAAACTTAGTATAATCGAGTCAAATTCTAGTATAGTCGATTCAAACTTAGTATAATCGAGTCAATTCTAGTATGATCGAGTCAAATCTAGTATAACTGATTCAAATTCTAGTTTGATCGAGTCAATTCTAGTATAATCGGGTCAAACGTATTCATTTTACCAAGAAACGTATTCATTTTACAAAGTAACATATTCAGTTTACCAAGAAACTTATTCATTTTACAAAGTATAATTGAGTCAAACTTAGTATAATTGAGTCCAACTTAGTATAATCGAGTCAATTCTAGTATGATCGAGCCAATTCTAGTATAGTCGAGTCATTTCTAGTACGATCTATTCAATTATAGTATAATCGATTCAAATTCTAATATGATCAATTCAATTCTAGTATGATCAATTCAAATTCTAGTATGATCGATTCAAATTCTAGTATAATCGAGTCAAACTTAGTATAATCGAGTCAAATTCTAGTATAGTCTAGTTAAACTTAGTATAATCGAGTCAATTCTAGTATGATCGAGTCAAATCTAGTATAATTGATTCAACTTCTGGTTTGATCGAGTCAATTCTAGTATAATAGGGTTAAACGTATTCATTTTACCGAGAAATGTATTCATTTTACAAAGGAACATGTTCATTTTACCAAGAAACGTATTCATTTTGCAAAGTAACATATTCATTTTACCAAGAAACGTATTCATTTTACAAAATATAACTGAGTCAAACTTAGTATAATTGAGTCAAACTTAGTATAATCGAGTCAATTCTAGTATGATCGAGCCAATCTAGTATAATCGAGTCATTTCTAGTATGATCTATTCAATTATAGTATAATCGATTCAAATTCTAATATGATCAATTCAATTCTAGTAAAATCGATTCAAATTCTAGTATGATCGATTCAAATTCTATTATAATCGAGTCAAACTTAGTATAATTGAGTCAAATTCTAGTATAGTCGAGTCAAAATTAGTATAATCGAGTCAATTCTAGTATGATCGAGTCAAATCTAGTATAATTGATTCAAATTCTAGTTTGATCTAGTCAATTCTAGTTTAATCGATTCAAATTCTAGTGTGATCGAGTCAATTCTAGTATAATTAAGTCAAATTCTAGTATGATCGAGTCAATTCTAGTATAATTGAGTCAAATTCTAGTATATTCGAGTGAATTCTAGTATATTCGAGTGAATTCTAGTATAATCTAGTCAAACTTAGTATAATCGAGTCAAATTCTAGTATGATCGAGTCAATTCTAGTATAATTGAGTCAAATTCTAGTATATTCGAGTGAATTCTAGTATAATCTAGTCAAACTTAGTATAATCGAGTCAAATTCTAGTAGAGTCGAGTTGAAATGTTCATTTTACAAATAAGCATATTCATCTTGTTAAGAAACACATTACTTTATACAAATTCAACATATTTATCGCGCTAATTAACATATTCATCTCATAACGTAACATATTCATCTTATAAGTTGGCATGTTTATTTTAAAACGTAACATATTCATCTTATAAGATGACATGTTCATTTTAAAACGTAACATATTTATCTTATAAATTGACATGTTCATTTTAAAAATAAACATATTCATCATGTTAATTAACATATTCCTTTATAGAATATCAACATATTCATCGCGCTAATAAACATAATCATCTCATAACCTAACATATTCATCTTATAATTTGAAATGTTTATTTTATAAATAAACAAATGCATCAAGTTAAGAAACACATTACTTACAAAATCAACATACAGCATGTGCAAAATCAACATATTCATCGGGTTAATAAATATGTGCATCTTTAAGAGACACATGTTCATATGAAAACAAAACATGTTCATAGAAAACAAAATGTATCTTCATTTTGAGAGGCCATGTTCATGTCCGGAAGATTGTATCCAGAACCTCTAGGATCATGTTGAGAATCTTGGTTAGGAGGAAAAGGATGCACAAACCGTCCAACAAATTCAGGGTTTGTAGAAAAGACCCGGTTAAACATGGTGTTCCTATTCCTCAATGAAGCTTGTTTCTTGTGCTTCCCCTTTGATTGTCTTGAAATTTTCTTCACAGTACTTTTCCGTCGAATGTTTCGTTCTCCTCTAGGCCTCAATTTCTCTGGATCGTTAACATTCGCGGCAGAAGATTTCGCGGTACAAGACGGTTCATCTGTAGCTAATGAAGAAAAATAAGACTCTATCTGTAATATCCCATTCAGTAATTAATAAAAGTAATTATTCTAAGTATGAACTAATTACTTTTATTAATGCCCGTTCCTAGTTCGAGCCAGTTATTAAGTTATTCAGTTAAAAATTCGACTTTAAGTCAAAAGTATTCTCGGTTCAATATTATTCAGTAATCGAGCTAGTTCAGTAATTAATTAATTCCGGTCTGTTTATTTTTATAAATGGATTTATAAGACGGGATTAATTAATATAAGATGACGAATAATCGAAATTGAGTATATTTTGATTAATCGTTTAAGATAAGTAGTGAAATGGACCCAAGTATATTCGGTCATGAGTAGAACTTAATTAAGAAATAGCCGAGCCTTAGTACTAAATACTTAGAATTTTTCTAAGTGTTTAAGTCATCAAGATAAGATCATAATATTGAGTTTTAGCATAAGTTGATACAAGTTAAGTCTTGAAGTAAGGTTAAGTATCCATGAACATTTAAGTGATAAATGTTCAAAGAAGTGAAAAAAATTTTATTTAGACATTATAGTCTATTTAATCTATTTTAATAGAAATCGAAATTTTTAAAATTTTCGGTTTTACGGTAATCGTTTGGTTTAAGTCCGAATGTAGTTCCGTAAATGTAGAATATTTCAAGATAATTATATTAGATCCTAAGAAGCAATATGTTCATTAAATTGAAGAAAAAAAATGTGAGTAAAGAATTTAAATTTTAGAATTTTTAGTTTTACGGTAAACGTTCGTTTTAAGTCCGAATTGAGTTCTGTAAATTGTATTATTCTCGGTTGATTAGCATGATCCAAGACCATATATGAGCATTACTTTTCAGTAAAAGAGTTTTAAAAGTTAGCCATTTTTAAAGAAAATGCATAAGTAATAAAAAGGATGATTTTTATTATTTTTTATAATTTTTTTTTTCCTAAAGATTTTTATATGATGAATGGGGACAATTTTACAATAATATATGGAATCAATTCCATCACATTAAGCACGAAAATTTGGTCATCAATTGGTGAGAATGAGATGAGAAAATCACAACAAAGTTTTGCTAAGTCTTTAAGTTAGCATTTTTTTCAACAATTGATGAGAATTTTATTAAACTTGGTGGAATAAGTTTTATCTATCAAAAAGCTCACTCATGGCTATAACTAAAGGCCATTTTTTTGATGATTAATTATGTTTGGATTAGAATACAAGTTAATCATAAAATAGTTTTGCCAATTTGTGCCTATAAATGGAGGCCTAAAAATCAGAGTTCTCACACCAAAGTTAAGTACCAAAAGTTATATAAGAGTGTAAGAGAGAATGAGTAGTAGAAACTTTGGAGAAGTGAAGAATTTAGAAGTGAAGAATTAAGTTACGATTCTAGCAAGAAGGAGGTAATTTACTTATCTTAAAGTTACATGCTTAAGTTCATGTTTTGATAATGAGTTTACATGTTTAGTAGATGATATTAAGTGTTTAATAATGTTTTTATATGACTTAGATATTAAAGTTTTATATGAATATAAGCATGCTAGAAAATAAGTTATTTCCAGCTCATATATATGTCATATGTGTTTAGTTATGATGAGATTTTTACATAGCTATAAAAAATCTGGAAATCTATGCTTCCTATGGTTATTTCTTGTGTAAAAGAGGAGTACATAGAATCAAGAATTAAGTCATTTAGTTTAGTATAACTCAAGATATGAATTTTTAAAGTTTATCATGCAAGCTGAATTTTATGTACTTGTTTCCAGCAGCAACTTTAAACTTGAATAAGTCGAGATACATGCATGATAAAATTATGAAATTTTTATGACATGTCTAATTATAAGTTGAGATTATGAATGTTAAGTTTCATAATTTAAAGATGAGAAATGAATAAGTTATGAATATAAGAAGGCATATATGTAAAGATAAGTATATATATGCAAGAATATTCAGGAAATGTTTAAGTTGTTAAAATGAGATGATCATGAGTAATTCTCATATAAGTGATGAGTAATTTGATGAAGTTTTGGTATAATATGTTGAGTATACAATTTTATATAGATTGTATTAAGTATGACATATTAACATCATGACTAAATGTTATGAGTAAAAGATGATTATAGCTTGAGATTATTTTCACTTTCAAGTTAATTAAGTGAAAATTTAGTATAATCCAATATCTAAAAATATAGAGATATGATGTATGATGAATTAAGTATTTGATGAAGTTAAATTAAGATAAGTTATAAATCGTGTTGATGATGTTGGTAGAAAGTAAGCATGTTTTAAGTTTAAATACTCAATCAAGTATAATGTGAAATATAGTTATTTTCACATTTGAGTTATGCCATGCTAAGTATAATACCATATTGATGTTTATGAAGACATGATTTATATAAAGTTAAGTAATTGACCTTAAGTAAAAGTAAAAAGAGAAGTTAAGTATAAACTTGAGAAAAAGCAAGTTTAATGAATTTCTATAAGATTTGGATAAGTTAATAATTCTAAAAATCTTATTGAGTATACGAGCATAGTACTTAGTATATTTGTTTATATTTTTATGTAGCTTGCAGATATAGCTACCCAA